AAGGAAAACTACACGAGAATGTTTGGTTGGATGAATTGTATAATATCAGGCATAAGTGGTCAACCGCCTTCAACAAAGAAATTTTTGGAATGGGGATCCTATCAACGCAAAGAAGTGAGTCCGCGAATAAGATTTGTCATGATGTATCCAAGACAACAAGCACCCTGACCGAATGTTTTTTGGGTCTTGAAAATGTCATCAAGGATTGGAGAAGAAATGAAAAGGATGAAGAATTTAAATGCCAGCAGTCTGCAATTTCTCCCACCGTTAAAAGCAGTCCAGTGTTGAGACAGGTTTCTACACTTTTACACTAGGAAGTTATACTCAATGTTTGAAGCACAGTTTCTACATGGTTTGTGTGGGCTTGCTGTGAAGTGCTCCAGTACTATGGATTCAAAATTTCATATCCGAACTCTTGATAATAAGGACAGAGTCAGGCCCTGAATTGTTAAAGTGGACAGTTGTAATTCTGATATTACGTGTAGTTGTAAGAAATTTGAAATGATGGGTTTATTATGTGCTCACGCTCTAAGGGTTCTTCAGCACAAAAATATTACAAAAATCCCTGATAATATATATTACTTTGGTGGACTATTAATGCGAAAATGGACATATATAACAGTTATGGTTATGCAAATCGCAGAGTTTCAGAAATTTTGCCAAATTCTGCAAGTGGATTCATCTATCTCAACCACATTCATAAATTTGCATACCATATCGGCACCATAACACGAGGCCATGAACTTGCAGAGAAGCTAGTGTTGGAGGCATTTAACAAAATTTAAATCGATGTCGAAGCCGCTATGAGTGGATGAGACCATCTTGAAAAGTCAAAATCGAAGGAGAAGAAGACACACAATAAAGAGCGAAATGTGAATGATCTCACGAAGATGCGGCCAAAAAGAATATCTAATGCAAGGCTAAAAGGGTACTGAGAAAAAAACAAGAGATACAAAAGTAAATGTTACTTATAGTATTACGTTCTTTAATATCTTTTTTTATAAAATATTACTCACTAACAGGTAGTATTGTATACATGAAAGAAGAAAGGTAATGTTTCAAGCCATGATAGCATTCCGGAATGTGATCCAAATTTATTTTCAATGATGGATCACTTTACTCAGGTTGCGGAATCGATCCTTCTAAAATTTTGTCTGCTCGATTTAGACTTCTTTCCTGATATTTACTCATTAATATTATCAATGTACAAGAATTTTCTCAAACACAACAAGTAGGGACATATACGAGCTTACTGATGGACATACATGAAAATATATAGACTACTTATTGTTAAAACTGTTG